AAAGACAACATACTACCAATAACAACAAATAATTTGTAACCAACCAAGTTAAAATTATCATATCCAAATAGTTGAATGTTGCATATTAAATAATACAATAGAGGAATAGACTTTAATAGGATTATTTTCAAATTATATGGATGTTTGAATTATTGTTGTATACGAATTTTTATTCCATCTACTGACGGTCGAAACGATTAATGCACAGTTAGCCTACTTTTAATTATAGTCCAGTTTTTTCTTTGATATCGACAAGAAAAGGATTCCAAATAGATTGGAAATCTCTAAATGTTGATTCTAATTAGTAAACACTAAATATAATAAGTCGTTCTCTTAACTCATTGCCTACGCTATTCTCATTATAGACTTAAATTAAGCCTTTTTAACGCTGATAGTCAGTGAATAAATAAAACGACTATGTTTTATATTATTGCTTACATGTTCAAAAGTTATCCCTGAATTCCTTTGAATGACATCCCATTTCATATGCTGATCTTTATGCTACAAGAGTCTTCAGGGGCAAGGTTTTTTCAGGTGAAAATCAACTCCCACTAAATTGCAATTTGGTAAACACTTAAAAACAATAAATCACAAATGATAGGTGAGGTTTCGAGAAAAGTGTTTTAAACTAATAAGCGCTTAAACAAAGTGTTTCAATAGGAAGATGTCTTGCTTTAATCTAAAAAATATCATAATAAGGAATGGTTTCAGAACTGCGTTTCGCTCTTAATACATCAAAAAGGAAAATATCATCAACTTCTGTTATAACACACATTATTTAAAGCCTTGACTAGATTATTTGAAAGACCTACTGCAGCTCGGAAAACTCAATATCACTATGACAAAATCCCATTTCATCTCTATTAAATTACTCAATTTTCTTCAACTAGATCTCTAGTGCTCGTTCTATTTCTCCAAGTTCTGGATCAACTATTGATATAAGGTCAGGACACATAGACATAATCAAAATTTAAATCTTTACTTTCCTGTATTATCTAATTTACATTGCACATTTTCTTTAACCAACACACTTTACATTATAACTCTTTTTCCTTTTAGTCCTAAGATTATAGGAACTAGTGGAACTGGTAACTTAGAACTTGAGAAGTTTCTGATAGATAATCAGATAAAGTGAGTTCATCAAATTTATGATTCATTTAGCAAATGAAGACTACACAATATTGTTTCTCCAGGAAAAGGAGTGCCACAGTTTAGTGTTAAATACTCACCAATATTTGGCTTCCATAGGCAAATATTTAATCCAGAAGTTTTTCATTTTGCACTTAGTCGGAAAACAGGTTGTATGATGATCTTAACTAAACAAATTACTATCAAAAATATCAAAACAAATAAGACATGATGAAGAAATAGTAAGTTTTGACATCAATCAAGACATTAAAAGATGAAATGAAGGTTGTCACGTTGAGTTTGAAATTTGAACAAATATTTTTATGATATAATAAAGATTTTAATTCCCATTGGCGTACGATTTTCGAAAGTCTAAGTATCCACTCCGGAGAAATTCTATAGACATTCATAAAATCTATAAAAGCTTTTTTACGGAAGTTTTCTACTGAATATTTAGTAAAATTTCTAAAACTCTTCACAAAACCCATTCTGATAATAATCAACTGCTCACTAGTGACTGACTTCAGGAAAACCTCCTGGAGTTCTAGCGAGAAGCCGTTACCAGTGGAGTTCAACCGGTCTGTTGTGACATAACAACTCACTGAAGACAATGGTGTACGGTGGCGCAACTTCGTGGATTGGTTGAAGTTAGACATTAACACCGTTGGATGCCGGCTCAGTGGTCTAGTGGTTAAGTGCTCGCGCGCGAAGCCAGTAGGTCCTGGGTTCGAGCCCCGCGTGGTGATGGATCGTGGATGCGCACCGCTGAGGAGTCCCATACCAGGACGAAACGGCCGTCCAGTGCTTCCAGGTTTTCAATGGTGGTCTAGCTTCAACTGACTCATGATTTCAACCTGTGAAAACAGGAAAGTTAATTGACACTTAAGGTTATTATGATTTTGAAGTACAACTGTTCTTTAAGTCATTCAAATATGTGTTTTAACACACAGCTAGTTCATTCCTCCCCACTTGAAACACTAGTGTAATAGTAAACGCAGTTGAATTTCTTGTCGTCAACTATTTGACCAGATAACCTTAACGAACAATGATTTAGAAACCAAATACACGACAGTTTATACACCCTGAGTCCCCCAAAGTCCTACTATCGCTTGTAACATAATTTCCTTGTGCTTTTTAAGTAAATAAAAAATGAACATACCTTATTGATCAGGTTTTCTAACACAACTGGCATCGTAATAAGTATTACTCTGAGCCTGAGATTTATGCTATGTCATGGCAGTGAATTCTCCTCCACTATTCCTAAATAGTATATATATCATACTAACATAAATTTTAGGAATTTACACCCTTTGATATTTGGCTCTTGCAAGAAATCCAAATACAATTTCGAATCTTAAGATTTTTGTGTAAATATGGTTCATCACTGATTCTTATCTAAAATAACCATGTTTACACAACGTTGGTATTACATTATATTATTGTTTACTAAGAACTAGAATATCATATGATATAGAACACCAATTTCAGATTTTAAAAAAAATCTGTTCTTCATTTATAACCTTATCTAGTAAGCTATCTAGTGATTTATCTATCATGGGAATTAATAATCAACCCACTATGTTACATCGTGATTTGCACTTAAACACAATCGTTTGCAGCAATTAGTCAGCTAGTTGATCAGACCAACTCCGTCTTCTAATTGTTCTACAGAAATAATCGTTAATGTCATATGGCTGTTTTTCTTGGGATTAATTATTTCAAAGCATCACTATTATTCAGTAGTAATTTGCTGCATTTCATTACTTTAAAAGGTGTACAATTTGAGGATATGTGTAGCATAACCTTTTTGCATAATAATAAAACCACTACCTTTATTTCAATTGGCAGAGTTATAAATCATTTGTCCGATATAAACGATGCAAAAGAATACTTAGAAAGAAGCTTAAACCGTAAATTAATTCAATATCGTTTATTTAATGAATTTTATTCTTCACATGGATTTAACGAAGATAAAGATTCTTTGGATAAATTTGTAACGCAAGTTGAAGATAAAAATCTTAACCATTTGATTTCATGGTTAACTGAATTTTGGAATCAACTAAATGAAATTCCTTATTCATTGCTACAATCAAACCAGTTCACTATTTTCGGTATACGAACATTTCTAACATGTCCAATGCATTCACAGCTGTCATTAAACTGGTTTCTTGACTTATGGAATAATATGTTGGTGCCTATTCTGTTTAAGGATATAAAAAATGTAACGACCTCTACTATGCCGACAAAAAAAGAACCTTTAAACAATATATTTAAAACATTAAATAATATTCTTGGATGGATAACGATAACATGGCCATGGAATCCTACAGTTGTCAACTTTCCAAAATCTATTAGGGAACCAAAAATAACTTTAACACAGAATTCAATATCTATGATGAAAAATTATCAGTTGACGTTGTCCACATTGTGTAATTCCGACGTGGAAATTTGTCAACACCGTACAAGTATGGATTCTGGTATTATTCTAGATGGAATAAATCCAACAAACAACAATCTTTTCAGTTGTTTTGAAAATAACTCAAATATCATGTATGGTAACAATTATTATAATCATTATCCGTATGGAATGGGAGACAATTATAATGTACAACAGCATGGGGCCAATATAACTGATTGTAATCAACTAACTACGACAACATCCTACCAATTAAAGAATGAAAATCGTACCAGAGGCAATTGTACAAAAACTGTTACTTCTGTGAAGTAAGAATAATGACCATATATAAAACATAATTAAAAGTCCTTGTCTTTTCAATCAGAATCTTATGTAAAAAGTCACAATGTCATTCTTGATTTCTGTTTGTTTTTTCATTAGTAAAAATTTAGATTCTTAAATACTAAAGGTTTATATCGTATTAATTATATCATGAGTATTCAACTTTGAAAAGGATTGCTTTTTCCGAATTTTTCTTTGCAATGTTGCTTTTATTCTGTAAGTAATATATATCTACACAATTTGATTTTCGTTTAGAACAAAATTAAAGACGATAACAATAATTAGTTATTATCAATAACTTGGAATAAGAACAAATTATAACAGCTATAGTTTCCTCACAGTGACAAACGCTTGTCAGTTTCCTTTATTCTAAATAAATATGGAAGAGATGACCGAGAACAACTAACATTTTCATGTTCTTTAAGATGCTTATAAAACCTTGATTTGTTATTATACATATATATATATATATATATATATATATTTCAAATAAACGCATCTAGAGCTCACTCAGTTACTTGACCATACGTAAAGTTACGTCACGATTCTATCTTCAGCAAACACTTATTCTATTCACGTCTAATGAAAACAAGGTACAGGTCTTATAAATAAAGTTCACTACTACCCCTCTCATCTATTATGTGTTCTCAGTTGAAGAGCTAACAAGCTTCAATTTAAGTCATTTTAAGTAAAGATTATGCGGTAAGACGTTTGAGTGACTTCCGAAAAAGTAGAAGTTGGTTGTAGATACATATGTATATAACCACTATGACTAACGAATAAATATTAAATATTAAAAAACAAGGTAGCTATCGGGGGCAGACCAATAACTAGTAAATCTAAAACCTATTTAATTACTTTGATGGTAGATCATGTCACTAACGTTTATAGATAGCTGGATTTTAACACAATGGTTTGATAGTAATCTGCTTTACCCAAGACTTACAGATTCTTATTTTGATTCGGTAAGGGGTTGGGGATGCATACTGCTGGGGAGTCCCAGAAGAGCAGTTAATAACTTCTCTACTTTTTTCGACTGATGTTTTAAATCGTATCAGCCTGTGATAAAGTCATTCTTCAGATACTTTTACTTCTCAACGTGTCTGGATGATTAGGAATTATGAGGAACGTCATTATTTTCACATTCATTGAGATATGACTCTGAACACTTATCTAAATTGATGAAGAAAAATCATAACAAAAGATTCCGTTCATTTTAACTGGGTGGGATGATGTTACGTTCGGCTGTAAATTAAAAATGATACATATCAATACTACAAACATGAAATTCAGGATTATTTACTAAGCAAAAACAATGCTGACTTCTTTGGCTCACTGGTCTATGAATGTTAAAATGATTAAAAAAGGCATTCGATCACATTGTTGTACCCGATTTCATCCTGGACAAAATATGAGATGAATAATATTGATATGATTCATTCCCTTCCCGGCTCACATATATTTTGTGAATTTTAAACAATTCTTTCGATTCATACACCTCAAGCACAGCAGTCTTTGTTTGCATGAAATACTCTTGAACAGTTTTAAGCAAGATATTATCTTTACGCGTTTTGTCTGACTGTGCAGCCTCCTTTTTAATCCTGGTGTATTTATCATCCCGTAAGCTTTGAAGAAATAAAAAGGAAGATGTGACTGAAGGTATTATTTCAAAGCTAGTCAAAACCAAAACCCTTTTAGAGAAGTAAAAGGTAATATGATTTGAAGCTAAGTCAACCAGACAAGGTTTAAATGCCCTCATTGTGAATCATGAGCTTTGAAATAATATATGCACTTAAGAGGATTGCCATATATTTAGAAAACACGAATGTTCTAACCAGAGATTTATTTTCTGTGAAACTAAACATTTAAATGTCATTATGCAGAGGCACTGTCAAATATGTTTCCCTAAAATGAAAGTGTTAATACAATTTTAAATAGGACAGTTGGACTCCTCTTTCAGAATATCCGCTTGATTCATTCTTGATTGTGATCATTCACTTAAAATACAAACTTTAACCACTCAAATAAAGCAGGACTGAAGTCAGCAGTTTAACTGACTTATCCGTTTTCAATAATTCATCGTGCTTGGACTAAAAAGACTATTATGTTTAATGACAAGCAATATATTGCAAAACATAACCTTCAGTTTCTGTCAATCATCAACGTTATTAAAAACAATCAGATTTGAAATATTGTGAGATTCTCTAAACAATGGAAATTATCATCTCAATTATTCCTCACCCTGTTTTTACATCAGTTGCCCTGTCTATCCTTATAATGGGGTGTCCGTTTTTACTACACTAATTAACCTTTGCTTCAATATCTTTTAATTTAAGTAAAAACGTTCTCAATTAAAAAATTTACTTCCAGTGTGTTAAGTGGACACGAATTGAAAAAATACAACAGTTTACTGCAGTTTCGTCTTTTGGTTGTATTTATTAAACTGAACCTGTCTTTTGCTTTGGACGAAATGATCTAAATGTTCTAACTGACCAGATCTTTTGTAGTAAGTGCTTAAACAATATAAAGTTTGAAAGTTTCTAGTTTTTACGGTATATAATTTAACGTAATTCCCTCATCACAGATGCCATTACCATATTTCATTATATTTTGAATAATGGCTAACAACAGACTATTCAACATGTTTCTTATATTATTTGAGTTTGGTCAGGATATTCTGTCTGGATGTACCTGCGTCCTCGTGTCAACACTAACCAATATATTGTTGATTACTTTTAAGAATTTCTAGTTTTTACTTGAGCCTCTCTTAGACACTAACCAAAATGTAATCAATTTGCAAATCCAGTTAAGAATCAAGTTTATACAGTGACAGGGATTGTTCGAATCTCAGATTCCCAAAATAAACAACAGAAAATGAAGATACTTTACAATTAACCTGATTTTAAACTTCCATCAGTAATGTTATTCAATTAGAGAGACTTTTTAGAAAAATAAATGTTTTGTGGGGCCTTTTATTTTGTCGTTATTTAGATCGGACGATGTTGTCGAAAGGGCTCTCCACTCTAATGGCCCGAGATCTGACTCCAAGTAGATCGTATGAATGTTTGTTATCACATATCCTCGTATATAATCATCGACTTAAATCGCGTTAGTCAATAACGGAATTAAATAACTCAAATAACGAGAATGGACTTCTGAATACATATATTTGTATATAAAGCGGATAGAATAGAACAAAGCAAAACGACGCGCAGTGGAGATGGCTGGTAAACCAACTCCCATTTAGTCAAGCATTAATCAATATTTATAGTTACGCGAAAATAAGTTACAGACATGTGATGAATGGGACAAGAAATGTACACACACCTACGCTCTATAAAAACATTCAAGATTGATAAACGAATAATTAACAAGGTCAGAATGTAACTCAAGTAGGATGAATAGACTGAGCTGTCCGAAAGCTAGAATAAGGTATATGGGCTAAACATAATAACCGACACTAGAAGTGCTTCTTTTCGTAATAACTTTTTATTATACAGTTTTTGGAAATAAATAAATCACTAGCAAATTCATAATTCACTCAAAAATCATCGTGTTCATTTTCTTCAGATTGAAGTGCATGCTTCAAATATGTTTGCTTTTCATTTTCAACATTTGTTGTTGGATAATTATCCTGTTGAATTAAACAAAATTATGTGAACAATAGAGTAGTATTAATAATAGTAGTGGTGGTGCTAATAATAAGATAAAACACAATGATTATTGACCAGTTGCATTTTTGATTATCGTTTTCTAACCTAAATGATACTAAACCGCGATATTGGTAGTTACAAGAAATAGTCACAAATTCGCCACCTGGTATTAGACAAGGTGCTTTATAGGCATAACAAAATATAGCAGATTAAATTTTATCTAAAAGGCGATTACCTTAAACTAAATAGCGTATGAAAGTCATAGGATATCGAATGAGTTTAGATAAATGAATAGTGTTAGTTACTGGAGAATAAGCGGAAGTGTATATGTTGGAAGACTACAATCATTCAATTAATACCACTAAACTCAAGATACGAATAATATATGACATAACATCGGTAAACCTAAGATTTTCTCCACTTAAAAAAAACGTCAGAAAGAGAAGTTTTTAAATAGGATAGACTGTGACTTATATGAATTATCACTTAAATGAATTATGCCCCAAAATGATCACTTTGAGGTCTTTCCTGTTTCCCCTCTACACTAGTCAACGAACCTTTACCTGACTTAGTATTTGTTTGAAACAAAGTATTTTTTACTGACCTACCTATCTTGCTTAAACCAAACACTTAATGGTTTTAGTAAATTTACAAGGTACTGCTTAATCATTAATAATCAAAGGTATGTAAATAGTGTATCTCAATTAGATTCAACAGATATTTCCTACTGGTATAAATGGAAAGAAAGGATATCATTCGATTGTTGTCTGAAGAACAAACTCCTTTTCTGAACTAAAAATGAAATAAGCCACTGTTTGGACAAAATAAAACTATAAAATGTAGTAATAGAAAGACTTTTAGTTATTAATCGTAAGTAGATATAAAGTTCAGTTGACCTAACGATCAACCATTACGTTGGAATTAGTAGATGAAACAAATGAAACATGATAGTAATAAATAATAAACCTGATCAGTGCTCAGTATACTTTCAATATTATAAGAGAAATTCTCTTTAATATCTGGCTTATCGAAATATTCACTTTGCACTCTACTAGTTCTTGTCCAAACGTGAATCAAAACAATTTGTGAAAATCGGAATTCATTCATTCTGTCTTTTAAGCTTAAGTTTTAATTGCTGTTTCATACTGTCTATTCCTCAATTTCATTCATCCTTTCTAAATTATATTCTCTATGTTTATAAATGCTACTAGTACATCTACTTCTTTTTCATAAATATCGTCAGTTTTCTGCCTCTGTGCTATTATAGTATAACAGTTAGGGCCAATATATAATTTGTCTGGGCTCTACGGTGTTTATGATCAACGTTGATTGTCTAAACAGATAGTTAAAAATCTCCCTTGAAAGAATACGTTTAAGGAAATCTCTGAAGAGCGGTTGGAAATTGTTCAGTTATTATTTCAAGTAAACCATATGTCTTTAGTCTACGCATTTGTTTAGAGTCTTAGCTATGTTCCTAAAACACCAAGCATTACTATCCAGTCACCGGTTTGAATCCTGTTTAACTGGGTTTCAGTAACCAGGTAGTTTATAAAATGTTTGGGACATAACTTCATATAAATATACAAGGCTGTTTTGTCTTCGAATCACATTACTTCCACTCACATATGATCTATTGGAGACGGAATTGAAAGACTTAATCACACTTTAGAAGATGAACAGAACACTTGAAATTGTTGTATTCGGCACAATGGACTGCTTAAAAACTATCCCGATTTTCCATCTATAAATTTTTCGGAAACGTAAAAAACAGGGATAATCAAAGACAAAGATTAATAAACCTTAAATTCTGATAATTATCGATTTTCAATCAACATTTCCAATGTCCAACAGATAATAAAACGTAACTTATAATAGCTCAATAATATCCCTGTAATAGTCATGATTATTAATATAGGATTAATACTGAACTCTTTAAAATTAAACAAAAAGACTCCGAAGACAATGGGAGATAGTTTCAAATAGATTGAGCATTGGGTAGAAAGTTAATAATAAATACATTTTTTTGTTATAACCCAATGTAATAATTGAGTTCATGAGTCAATTGAAGCTAGACTACCATGAAAAACCTGAAAGCATGGGACGGCCGTTTCATCCTAGTATGGGACTCCTCAGCAGTGCACATCCACGATCTCGCTCGTGCGATTCGAACCCAGAGTCTTTGATCTCGCGCTCGAACGCTTAACTTCCAGACCACTGAGTCGGCACTGAACGGTGTTAATGTCTAACTTTAACCAATCCACGAAATCGCGCCACCGTCCACCACAGTAGACCCAGTTGAACTCCACGGATCACGGCTTCTCACCAGAACTCCAGGAAGTAACCCATGTAGACAGTCACTAACGAGCATATGATGATTATAATCATAGATGGGTTTTGTAGAGATTGTAGTAATTTAATTTATAACCCAGTGATGAGAAAAATTGAATCTTTGACGTTTCGTGACTTAGTGTAAGCCGCTTCTTCAGAGTAAACAACCGAAATTATTCATTGGGATATAACAAATATATATATTTATTATTAACAATGGGAGATAGTTATGCAGCATTATAAGTTTAATGAAGTTAGACATGTACGACAGTGAGTCCTGGTTAGGTGGTTTAGAGATTAAGTGTTAGTGCACGAGACCAAAAATTCTGAGTTCGATCCTTGATGGAGTTATAGATGGACACAACCGAGGAGCCCCATACTAGGATTAAACAAGTGTTTAATGCTTCTTAGTTTTCAACGGGTATCTAACTTAGGTTGGTTCGTGATATTAATAACATTTTATAATCTTCACACTCTCCTATACTGATCTATTTGTTATCCAGTCATAAAAATTATTACAGTATTCACCAAAAACATGTTTGTTTTTTAAATTTCAGTCATTAACCACTTTTGACTGACTTCATTGTACTAAATACTATTACTACATAATTTCTTAGTCATTTTCATTTAAGATAAACTTTACTGATCAATAATTCATTTCCGAAAACAATAGAAACAATAGACTAAAAATTCTAGTCTATGAATAACAATTTTTATTCAGATCCTGGTCCATTATAATGCTGATTTTATACAGAATTTATATCCAGATGAGGTTAGATAGAATTTTAGATGATAGTACACACTCTTTTTATCTTAGTCGGCTCACAATAAACTCTACGTTGTCAAATCATCTGAGTGTATCGTAGTCTGTAATGATGATTATGTTTTCGTTGACTTAGTCACTCAATTGTAGATATTTTGGAATAGTTTCTAGCATATAATTAATTGGAGGTATGACTTTTGATGTTATAATTTCTCTTTCATCATGACTAAGTAAGCTACACTTGGCACGTCCGTAGCATGATGGAGTGGTATTTTCATCGTAGAAAACTTTAAATTTTTCATTCATGCCAGTAAAAAAGACAGAGAACGAAACACACCCTCCATCATGGATTACGATAGCGTAAATAATAATTCCCGCTTCACTTTTGTTTGTAGTCAGATGCAAAGTCAAAGTTGCCAATTAGAGTATAGTTAACCCTCACCTCGAATGACTCGTTTTCTAAAAGAGGCAAATTCATGGAACTATGTCCAATTCAACACAAATGTGGATTGGTTAAAGTTGTAATACATCAAATTAGCACGTCGAGAGACAATAAAAATATTAAATAAGTAATTTTTAAAGGATATATTGATGGATGATAGTAGACTGCATAAAAATTGTGAGTGAAACAGAACTTAAAACAGTGATGATCAATTAGATTTACTGAAAATCCAGAGCTACAAAAAAATAATGTGTACCTTATATACGCGAATGGCTAAATTTTGATAGTACAATAAACACAATGTTATTAAACTGTAATTTAGATAAATATAAACATTTTTCAACTTGAAATAGTTAGCACTGTTTACGTAATCTATCAAATGACGACCAAAGTGACGACAGGAAAAGCCTAACATTTTTGGGGGGATGCTAGATCTCCATGAATCACTTGGTAAAAGTCTCATTTTTGTAATTTTATTTTGAAAATTTGAACTTCTCATTTTCGCGCCGAAAGCACCCACTTTTACCTTCAGTTTGTATTTTCCACTTGGGAAGACCCTAAATATCACCAGTTCGTTTCCTCTTTTAGTACGCTACTTTGTGACGTTACGTTTCTCAAGGACATTTTTGTACTATATATATACACTTGAGTTGTGTGCTTGTTCGCTCGACCTTTCGGACTGCTTTGTAATTAACTTTCCCCTCGTCTGAATCTGGTCTTCTCTCTTTAGTCACAATGACTGAGGCTCAGTGAATAGTTTAGCTTGTCTTGTGGTTTTCTTGCTAACCGTTCCGTTTGCCAGTTCAGGTGATATTTTAATCTCTTTAAATATGGCACTTCTACTGTTAATATTTAGAAATAAATTTAGTTCATTTTGGACTTACTTTCTGTGATCGTTTTGTTAACAATGGTTCATCCATATTTGTAGACCGATAACTCCCTTCATTTATTTGAAAATCATCACTGTTATTCGAACTTAGATTTCTACCATGATAACTCGCACCTGAAATACGTTGACGACCAGGAGACCATTCAGGCTTGAGTTGATTTCTTGCAAGTCCACGTTTTATAGTATTTCCATTACTGCTTTGATGAAATGAATTATCATTTGCAACGATATCTTCAGTATTTTCAATTTGATTATCTTGATCATTGACTGAATCATCATCTTCATCAATATCATCGTTATCACTCGTATCGTTATCATCCCCAGCACCAAAGCTACCATATTCTCCAGCATTAGTTTTTAAATTTAATGGATTCTTAAAGGTATTTTCATCTTCACAATACGAAACAGTTTTCTGATTCTCTTCATCTCTAAACTAAACGAAAATAAAAATGCAGTGATTGTCAATATACACAGAATTTATTAGTTCATGGAACAAAATCTGAATTACCTAGTTACAAATTCGGACCTTTCCTATGGATAGAGACTTCGGAAAAACGAGTAGTAGTATCACATTAGTCTCCACATGATATATTTTTACTGTAACGCATTAGTTACTTTTTTCATTATTACACTTAATGACGTATCTATTGTTTGAACGTTTGTAAAGAAGTAACTTATAAATGCAGAAGAAGAACAAATTCAAGAAAAGTCGACATAAAAGTCTACTGATAAAAATATTTACTTTGGTATATCGGGAATCGAAATAAATGCTTCACATGATGTGTGATAACATCACAAAGAAGTGGAATAGGGAGAAGTTTTATGGTCAATAATTAAAGTGAACAAACAAGTAGTGTTCGATAAGAGGTATAGTTCAGCTAGAAATGCAGTCAAGGTTACTTTCGTTGAGTAAAAATGGGTTACGCTACTTTTGATGAAAAAACAATAGGAAGAGCTAGCATGATCGTAACTGGCTTCTATTCTGAGCTATGTTTGATAACACTAAAAGCCACTAAGTTCTGTGATTTCTGGTATCATCCAGCAAGGAGTCCGTGATGGGAAGACAGAATCTAGTTCCGTATGGCTTTTTTTGATACCATAGCTCGACATCATAAACTAACCACCTCTCTACTTTATCCATCTACTTCTAGCATAAGCAAATAACGCAGTATGGAGGTCTGAGGGATAACATTATTAAGGTATCCACAGGCCAACGGTACCTATTTTTCAAAATTATAGCACCAATTGAGTTTCCACAACCGTCCCCAAATATACTTTGCGGGCACAAATATTATGTGCACTGTTGCTGTCAGATATCGGCAATCTTTTGGAGACAGTGATGATCAGGATAGTGGCCGCTGAACATCCTCAACTAGAAGAGGACAAGTCTCACAGTCAAACACCAGAACTGCATTCATTGACACACTGTATACCCGGTTTTACAGTTAGATGAAAACTATGATAGCTCCCTAGTGGACTGTTGATCTGACTCCAATTCGAAAGGAACTAATATTCAATGAATATAAATCTCCCATTTAAACCCCGTATATTACACCTAGGCGGACACCGTTTATGCGACGGTGGTAATAATAAGCCAAGCACGAGTTGAATTGGAAGAATTCATTTCAGACACTTGTTTAATCAGACAGACGTTAACGTAAAGAGAAGCAGGTAACCGAAGCAAAGCAGAGCAGGCAAGCTTGATAACTCCATTTGATGAAGTGTGACTCAATATTTATGGTTAGATAAAAGTATACTAAAGACGCGTGACGAATAAGGCAAGCTATATACTTACATACGCTCAGAAGAAAACATCAAGGTTAATAAGCGAATAGTTGTCAAGGTCAAAATGTGACACAAGAAGAATGGTATATTAGTCTGCCCGAAAACTGAAATGACCCATGTGTGCTTGACATAGTGCTATACACTACAGTCCCATAGAAATGTCAATAATTCCCCTAATGTACGACCAAAAATTATAAATACTGGATTCGTTGTATGAATACTCTAAAATCAATACATATTAAGAAGGGACATTTCAGTCAGCCTAAATCTAAACCAGAAACTAGTAATCTCATAAATCTTCATGTGATTCATGGAGTAATTCTAATTGGTTCAGTAAGCAATAAATTTATCCAGTGCCCTTTCTTTGGTTTATCCCAATTTTTTGTGTCGCAAAAACGAAGCAAGGTGGTGGTTTCGGCAATCTGAATTGAAAGCTATTGTATCTTCCAAACAGCCTGGTATTTTCAGTCTACTTTGTAATTGCATCCAACCTTTATTTACTCAAAAACAGCTGAAGCCTGTAAATGTTGACAACCAGGCTGCCAAAATCTATGTTTAAAGGAATGCTTATAATTGTAGTAAATAATATCATTCTGATCCCAAATTAAAACAAATTGAACAAACCATCACTGTATCATTAGTGAGTAGTACGGTGTATGCATTTTTACCACAGAATTATCGAAAAGCTATTATTTCCTAAATTGTAGTCAGCAGAGATACTGAGTTATGACGTAATCAGAGTAAACAGTTGAAGACTCAGTGTGAAAAGACTAAATCCCAGCAGCCGTTTTAATCATTGTACTATTGAGTGTAGTGAATACTGTATCAATCATTATTGTAACAGCAGCAGATTCTATGCGCTTCCATTCGAAACTCTCAGAGACTGAAAAGCTTATTGACAAATCTCAAGCTACGATGTTAAGTAGCCCATGCTGCAGATATGTCTCGTAATTAAGTAGTAAGAGATATGAAACATATATTCCCAAATTATAGTAGACTGCTTCAGTCTAAATGTCTAGTTATTCTTTGTTTCTCTGAAGCACAACGATATATTCATCTAAAAAGCGTTTCCCTTATTCACTCATCAGGGTAGATTTACCTCAAAGTTCTGATATTCCCCCCTTCCTCTTCCTGCTTTTTACATATAATTTGCCGTTTTCCACTAAATACACTTATTGAACAGTGACTGCACACATCTCAGTTCCCTCCAGTTCAAGATATATGGATTCCTAATTACAGTTGAGTATCGAAATCTATTGGATTCAATCTCACTAAATGTTAATATTTCAACTTTAACCTTAGACATGGGAAGGAAGTGAGAAATTCAGTGTGCAGTATGATATTAAATATTTAAATAAATAATTAAAAAAAGAAATGTAGTGTTATTTATCTTTGTGTTAGTCTTTCTCCTGGTTGCTTATGGTCTTCGTATGGTTTGTGAATATTGGGAAAGATTTTCCAGCCAACTCATAAAGGAGACTTTGGATAATCATTTTATTATATTTGGTGCTAACATTCAATTGATTTGACAAAATTTCAACTCACCGAAACTGAGTTAATTTAGATTTTGATCCATTACAATATCAGTTTCACACAATGTGGTAGAAACATATATATTAATATGATTGTTTAATTACATATTCATGTTAAATAACCATGAAATAATTCAATCCAAATATATACTTAATGTTGTTAAAAAAGCTGTTTATTGTTTTCACACACGCGCAAGCACATAATTCATAACCATTCAGACCTACCGAATATGTTTTCACTTGATCAGCTATAGTTTTAAGAGTAATTTCTGTATCCTCATTATTTTGATTAATATTATCCAGAAGACACTCATATTGACTTTCTAAGAATGTAAGATTACGAAATTTTGTCAGGTAAGTAGTATAAAGTGAAGATAGTTCCTCTTCTAATTGTTCATACTCTTCCATATATACAGGTCGTACAGATTGTAATGTAGATAAACGTTTACGATTACGTTCTAATTCACTGCGTTTCTTTTCAATTTTCATATCTAAATTGGTTTCATCGGCAGTGATATTAACAAGTGATGATTGCATTTTTTCAATTTGACCATTGATAGCACTTTTGGCGGTTTTTATAGATTCCTCGACATACTCTCGATCTATCTGACGTCTTAACGAAGTCTCACGTAATTCTTTAATATCTACTTCTTTATTCAATAGTGAATTTAAAGAAGCGCCAGATGATGCAAGTTGACTACATAAATTTCTAGCCTCTTGAAGTTGCTTAACCTGGGGAAACAAAAAGTAGATTTCAGTTAAATTATGAAAATCTCGAATATTAACATTTTATAATGTTGTGAATAATATAAATTTTTGGATATGACTTTTAATTTATCATAGCCATAATATGACTGAATGATTTCTAGTCAACTCCCCTTAAAAAATAATTCCGTTAGTCATTGTTATATCTTTGCCTATTGGTTTTTTTGTATCATTTCGACTTGGGTAACACGTTTCTGTTAATAAAGCTATTTGTTGTTACAAAATGCTAAAAACTTATTTACGTTGTTGTTTGTTTCATGCATCTCTGTCCGAATTTGACCAATGAGGTTTTCTTTGAAATAGCTTGATTGTTAAGTCATGAAAAAGTTTGAAATTTTAATTGCTAGTAGTGAGTGACATTAAAATTCAAACAAAGGTACTATAGAACAATATTTTCTTTTGGAACTGTGAAAGAAAACGTTTTCGACAAACTGATATTCATATTAACTTGAGTTTGTTTTACATGCAAATATTTTCAAATGTTCTAGACAAAAAATAAATGTCTGTTTAGCATGAGTGACTAAAAGACATATAATAAAGCGGAAAAAGTGAAACGAAGAACACTGGGTACTGAAAGCATGTGCTTTACTGAGAGTTTTAAATAGTCAGTATAATTCTCTATTCTTGTTTGAGATGTTATATCTTCTAATACAACGCATATCTATTTAAAGTAACTTTCGCCCACTTAACTTTCAATAGGTTTTTGTTGTATTGAATAATCCAATATGATTCTACATTTATTAACAATTCCTCAGTAAATAACAATCACTAATGATTGATATACAATTTGAATAAAATCTATCAGGAAAGCTTTTATACAAAATCGGACCTTTTATTCTAGTTAGACGGTAGCAATAAAGAAAATAGAAGCAGTCATGTTCATTATATTAAAATCGAAGCTGGAATACTTTTCTATTCACATTTTAGGTCATCTATGTCGGATAAAAATGGAATTAAATTGGTTGCTACGATCTAAATCCTACTTCTTACATATGTGACAACGTACAGCTCAAAATAATTTGCAAATTTTATATAAGAAACTCTTATAAGGAGCAGCAGTCAAACAAACGAAACTCATGTGGTAGATTATGTCAAATGTGTATGGGCTAGGGAGAATAACAAGTAGAGTAAACCTTAATGAATTCAAACTTGCGATGTAAAGATGCATGTGTCTTAGTCGCTGAACTATGATTAGGAAAAATGTGTTTAACTTGCGACTAAATAAATTACAAGTAGAATGACATTTTACAAAGCTTGCGAGAAATTCTGAGTAGATGTACACTCTTGAGACAAAAATAAATAAATTTAGGAAGAGTAGGAACAACAAATTGTACAGAATAAAACAAATTCATTCAATTTCACTCCTTATTAGCTGCATACAGCCTAAAACTACAATTAATAATAAACTTATAAACAAATTTTTGAGATAATTTAGTTTTCGAAGTTTAAGTAAACGTTCAAAATATAACCGAAATCACAAGACAAAGTGAAGACACAAAATGAATGAACAAACAGTTAGAGTCGATGTGCATTTATATCCTGATAAGTAGTAATGAAAATTATAATGGGTAATATAGTCACTATTATTCATAATCAAGATAAGAGAGGTCATTTGAAGATAATGAAACTGTTAATTAAGTAATCACTCGACAGGATTAAAAACAAAACCAAATCAGTTTGTGAACACCAATTATATTATGTAAGAGATGAGCATTGAGACGAAAAATGCAGAAGTGGTTAAAAAGATTATTAAAGGTTATTTGACGAATACCCAGTCACCATACCAGAAAAGGGACAATCACACTTTTATCTGTATGCATAGGTTAGGTAATAAACGTTTAATAACAATTGTCTTTGAAAAAGTAATTGAAATTGGTGCTGTTTGTCTGCTAGTGAATTTAAATCTATTCAGACAGTCAGTAGGCTACAACGTAGAACCAGGCACATATATGCATCAGTCCATAGAAACAGTTACTTCAGTGGTAGTAAAAACAAGGACTTCATATAAGGATACGATACAGAGAGAGAGAAAATTAGTTCGCAGAAAGAATGGTGCAATGTGATTTTAATCTCACGGTTTAAGAGAAGACAAAAAGTGTATACACCTACACCATTGTGATCGATTCTGAGCCATGTCACCCAGAGTCTCTAACCATTGGTTACAATAGCTGGCCAACCGTTACTGCCACATTGACGTGGTGGTCGGGCTTGCCTATCTCGATGAATCATTGGGGCTATATTGGCTGAGACAATCGTTTCTCAAGGTCTCACCATACTAGACAGGTCGATTAAAGTACGGTAAGACTAAAAGCAGCAAACCCAAAGCTCGATGGTGAAGTCGTACTGCTGACTGTACAGAGGTGTGACGGCAGTAAGATTTTTCCCTCAGGCAACTAGCATAACAGCGATGGTGCCTTCCCACAAAGGAAGTGTGGGGTTAGAAAAGATTGACCCTTAGAATGCACACGAATATCCGTCTCCGGTGGTAAGGTCCAAAAAGTACGGAGCTAACACAAAGTTACCCGCGAAAAGGTCGTGTGTGACCGGTTTCAAACAGTTATCCCTTTGGCACTAAGGTCACGTTCTCAGGTCACTAAGACCAACTCTAATTCAATTTCTTTTCCAGGTACCCCTAGAAGAAACCTTCCATGATGCAGGAAACCAGGAAGTGATAATCGCTCTCATATTTCTAACAGTACTCAAGACCACTGTATTCATAACAAATTCCCTTCTAATTTAAATCCGTTACTAATATTCACTTCATGTTCACTAGACAAAAGATGCATGGGGGATTGCACTTGCGAAGACTGTACTCCCTTTCAGGCGTATGTTTGTAGGACTCTGTTCAGGAAACATAGTAGAAACTCGTTTCTTTCTTTTCCATACATACTTGCAACCGCAGATACGCGTTGACTCAATGGTGACTTTGGAAGCATATTTATCCATCTTTGAGCAGTATAACAAACATGTGGTGTTGTATAGTAAAACACGTTTCTTCTGACCTATTTCTGTTTCGTTTTAGTGCACGAGCTCGTAAACCAGTGCAATCCAGCTCATTCTCTCACCAGTTTTTGAGTACTTGAAGTCACAAGTCATCGTCACCTTTGTGTGCAAATGAGAAAGAGGTAACATCATGTATCAAGTCAGCTACATGATGTACACAAAAAATAAACAGACTGAGCAGTAACATCACCAAACCTATATTCTTGTTAAAACGCTAGTAGTAAAAGTTAAAGGACAATCTATTTTAATTAGGAAGCATCGTGTTTAATAGGAATCTGAAGACAAGAGAGTAGCCTTACATACTAATGCTAACCAAATCCAAGTACTAAACTTGAGAACGTATATGTGAGGCAACTGATTGGTTACACAAAATATCTTGCTAAAGTCTCATAAATAAACATACATGCATTTGCCTTAAACCTGACCACTTCCAGTGTTACTAATTTGTTTACATAACTGAAGAACTTAGAGAAAATTTATTGGAAAAAGTACTACTTCTTCATATACCTGGAGATGGTTTAAAGACTAAAATTTAAAAGTGAAAGGCAAATTCTTTAAGCAACCTCAAATAAATCCATATTGTATTAGTTGTTTGGATCGTCCTAAATAGAGCGAGACGCGCTTCCTGTATTCCACTGCTAGCCACCACTCATCTATGCAAATAAATTCTGAATGAAGCTATAAAATGCATAGCGTTAGATAAAAATTACATGGTTCCATCGCCTAGTTAATATAATCACAACGAAAAATGATAAGCCTCATTCTATTATTATTGTGGGATATATATTACAAGATGAAACATAATAACTTGAGCAAGGTAAGACTAAACAATATACTAAGCATAATGGCAAAAACAGAAAATATGCACTCAGGGAAGTGGTCCGTAAAAGGTAATGGAAGTATATACACCAATACCCAGTGTTAGTAAAGAAAGTGGTCGTGCCTCACAGTTGGTTACTTTATTTCGAAGGTATTATCATCAAAGCCTACATCACAACGGCTAAGCATCTATTACCGTCTGATAGTTAAAACTGTTTCTAAAAAAATTAATATACTCAGTTTATGATATTTAAATGGTCTCGTGTAAACCATGCAGACTCTAATCCATGCAACTGAATATTTATTTTTCGAGATCCAATTTGAAATTCCGTCACTTCTAAATGAAAAATTTGTCACAAACATGGAAGCGCATTTCAAACACTCCAAGAGCTTGACGATGAATGAACCAACATTTATGCCCTTGCTCTGATAACTAAAATCCTCTGTACGTCATTACTTAGCTGATATGTACACGCATAATTATGTATATCAAAGGATCAAAACTACTCACCTTATCAAAATCAAAGATTTCTGTTACATTGAGGCAATATTGTTCATCTTTGGACTCGGAATTGCTATTTTTCATTGCTTCATATAAGATCCTAGTTATTTTTATAAGTTCCCTTACAGCATATCCATCTGCCTGATAAAGTCTTTTGCTGTTCAGTTTAATACATGCCTTAGTAAAAATCAAGCGTGTTACTGATTTAATGAACAAAACGCGATCTTGTTCCGAGTCAAGGCGTGATGGTAAGTCAGCATAAGAGTCATACCGACAAACCAACCATCTGAGGATTTCCGCAACTAAAGGGAAATTCGGAGTTCGAAAATTTTCCAAAGAAATGACGCGCGGGTATCCCAAGGAACGCATCATTTCAGTAAATAACCTCATCTCGCGGAAAGACATCTCAACTTCGTCGTTACTACGATACGAAAAAGTACCGTATATTCACTAAACTAAGTAAAACAAAGAGCACTCATAAATATGTATAAACGTAAGAGGGTAGATAGTATATGTTGGTCAATTCAGTTATTTTTAATCTCAATGAGGTTATCAAATCAAAGACCTCGAACTTTTCTGATATATTCAATATTCTTTTAACCAAGCTGAGACAAACCTAGTAACGTGTCTTAGGTGGGTTCTTGGTGTTATAGATCAACTATAGATTTTTTATCGCGCCCAGTAACTATAAAATCCCTTTTTAGCTTCAGTAGTCTAAGTGACTCTAAATAGGTTTGTGGTGGTGCATAAATCTCCAAAATAGATACTTTGGTAAGTTTTTGACGTTGATGTTGACCTCATTAGTTCTACTGGACACCTAGCTGAGGATTCTGGGTCACGGATCAGCACCAGATCACAACTGGTTACGCCATGCTACTCAACTAGACAGCTTATATCAGACGCTACACAATATATATATATATATCTTCGTTTTCCTTCGTTCATGCCTTCTGATTTGACTGGGTCGACATTCTTCAAATATACAGATGTTATGAACAAAAGCTTAGTCAAACCCTTATTATCTGAGACATTTTTAGATTTCTTGACTGAAGTCATACCAAGAGTATTCTGTCTGTTGTTGATGTAAACATGGTGCATCGTGTATTTCTGTATTAGTTAAGTGAAGAAATTTGACATTTTGCCTAGAAACCCCCGATAGACCTTCGTTTCTTAGCCGTAAATGAATGGTGATTGTGTTTTGTATTGTGCAAGTCAGTCTTCCTTATATGATATTCGCAACAGCTTTGTACTGTTGTGGTTTAGTTACCGATATTGTTTTCTAGGTAACTCTTGTTTAGCTCAAAATCAAAAGCAGGTTTACACCCACTTTTTCTGTGATATGTTTATGTCCAAACAAATAATCCAGCAACAAATTCACCTGAAAATTCACGAAAATCATAATAGACGGATGACTGTGATGCTTCTCCTTTAGTTATCTCGATAGAGACTTCTGCCTCTTTATTATTAGTTATAAAGTGTAGATGCTAAACTATCGGAGTTGAACGTAAACGAATTGACTACTTCAGTCCCGCAACAGTAACTCAGAGTCACACCACGCGGTAGATGTCTAGCCTTATCCACCACAACCTGGAAGCCAGGTTACTTCGTTTTCTTGATGGTCATAGGATATGGGTGAAATGTCATCAGAAGACTTGTATTTTTGACATACGGCAAAAATAAGCAAGTAATATGATCATTAAGTCAAGACTCAAGCCACGTAAATTTTCTATCCATTCACGCTGATCGTCTAGGAACCTGATGAGGTTTTATAAGCTAGCAAAAGTTCAGCGGTCTGTTCTCCAGTGTATGGATGCGTCCAATTTTATGAGAAATCTGACTAGGATTAATCGATAATTCAAACACACTGCAACGGTTTCATCTCAGTTACAGAGTACTGATATGCAACTGCACCTACAGTTAAGATGTCACTATTGAGACAAACTTTAGGGGGTTAAGAAAAATCCACCGTTTAACGTGAAGAAAAGGAACTACAGGCAAAGTAAGATTAAGTAAGGCCGTACTCCGTGGGGAAACGCACTGTGAGTTCGGGTGAAAATGAGCCAAAATGACTTTTGTTGCCTGTCTTAATGAAGTTGTAGTGCTTTTTTCCTAAATGGCTTTTTTAAGGATACATGGCTCGAAACTTACACCAACATTTTCACTAAAGGATTTGCTTTTTTTTAAACTAAATACAGCATTCGCTACTTCTTGCCTAGAAACGAACTTTCTTATACAGTCAACATGAGTTAAAATAATTACACATGAGTAAAAGCCATTTTTTACGGCGATTTTATTTGAATTTCACAAAGATACTGACAACATTCGACGGTTGAGATTGACGCACACAAACATTTTCTTTGTTCAGTTTGAAAACCTATCACTCGTGAAAACTACAGGTTCCATTATTGTCACTGAGATTTAGATGGTGGTTGGAGGTAGTCAACAGGAAACCCTGGACCCGGGTTTCGTGATACTTGGCACTCGTCAGCAAGGTGTACCTGTAATCTTGGGGGAACTGATGCTCCCTGGCGGATTCGATCTCGTGTCACCCAGCTTCACAGTCAGAGACGTTACCACTGAGCTATCCGAGCCGTGACTAACCTCCTGTAGGACTGAGATGTAATCACAATTGATTGATCACTGGGTGGTGATCAATGTCATGCTTGTCTAGTGTCGAGTCACCTAGACTGTTGGCCACATTGCAACATGATCGATAGCATTCGATCTGCACTAATAAGGACTAGACAAGCATGACATTGATCATCACCCAGTGATCAATCAATTGTGATTATTGTCACTCTCGAGGGTTCATCCACACAAAGGGTAAAATATACGGAAATTGGTGATAAATGACAGTCTTTTGTTCAGGAAGCTCATTGCAGTTATAATGTGTGGTTTATATTGAAGAATGTGTATTGCACGTTTTGAGACTAATAGACAATGTTGTATGGATACACTGAAACAGCTGTGAGATCTGTTTTCATTCGACAGAGTGTTTTTATTTACTTACTTAGGTAACCAACCGTCCATAACGAAGTGCGAGTCGGTTTACAGGCAATCATTTATGTGAAAGGTACCCCAAAGTTTTGATAACAACTCTGACCCAATTTTATGTATCTGCTGGCCAATCACTACCAAGTAATGGAAGAAAACTCTCTTACACCTACATCATGACCAGAGGCTCTTTTCAACAAAGTGTCCTAAATTGGTAAATTTATAAAATAAATCAACAGCAAATGTGAATGCTTCCCCATAGGTGCGTCATACTGACAAGGTGACTATCTAAACACTGTCAGCAAAACAAAAATATACATGACCTCAAAAAGAGCTGATGAAAGGAAGTGTTATCAACTAGAAAAATGTCTACATTTGGTGCAAAGAACCGAAATTACAATCTGACACTAGGAAATGTGGTTGATTATGTATTGGCTACTCGTTACTAACAATGTAACTTACGGAACGAATCACTACAACAGCCTTAATTGCTCCATCAAACTGTAGAAATTGGCAGGTCATTAGGCGATATTTCACGAAAACTTTGTAAAAGATTTGTGTCAGACATAATGTTGAAGACTGATGTTTCTCGCTTGGTTGTATTTACCTATTTGACAAGCCTATGATGAGAGGAGTTCACTTTAAAAACTCAAAAATTACCCAACAAATGATTAAGTTTCTAGACACTACATCGCACGACAATAGCTCAGTTGAAAAAGGAGTGCACCAATATCCATCTTAGTTTTAAATCTCACAAATTCAGAGCAATTTCACCGAACCTACAGGTAAGATGAAAGTGAATCGCCGGTGGAGTTCAGTACACTTCTGAAATCAACTCATTTTATCATCAACTCTGGGCATTTAATGTGATTATGCACTGGTTAAATTGTGTAGAAACTACTCACACACTTGATCTAGACATGAAATATTCAAGTCAGTTGATAAATCGCTACATACTATCCTCATCAGCTTCTCTCAACTAAACGAACCAACTAAAGAGTTAACTATATTTATAGGAAGATAGTTTTTTGTAATAGACAGCCTAGCAAGAAGTAACCTTTATAAGTCTGGAATGAGTAAGTAAAGAGGGTTAAACTAAAGTGCTATTTTTCGACTTATCCCAAATGATCAAGAAAACGAATAGTTCAGCTGGATAATGATGCAGGAGGGCCAGACTGTACCACATTTATGTCTTTTTCCTCTTGTGCTCATATGGGTACAACTTTGCTTAGCATGACTTTTATTCATTTCTGTCTAACATAGATACTATTGATAACCATGAAACTTTGAACGCACTCAATCCCCCTCCCTGGGTAGCCATAATTTTCTCGCGGTTTATTGTGACACATTTGTAGTGACTCACATTTATCACGAGAACACGACTGGTTTATTAAAAACAATCATTATTATAGCCAACTGTACCAGTGTTTGTTTTAATGTGCTTTTATTTGACTGTGCTAATGACAGCTATTTTGTGCTTCCATTATTATACTCCGACTTCGATTGTAACTTCGTGCGAATTCGGTTACCTTCTGTAACCAATGTTGTATCCTGGCACGATCTCGGTATCCTTTCGATGCCACGAGATCGCCAGCGAATATATCTCTATTTGGTCCATTAACTGTCTTCTGATATTTGGCTTCTCGAGGATTTTATGGATTTATTTGGTTACGTTCAACCCTCGCCTTCTGATTTATTTGGCACGTGTTTCTTGGTAACGGTGTTCATAGTTAACCTCAACTTGACGCCACGCTACACATTAATGGGTAACAAAACTATTTCAGATGAGTGGCTACCATGATACCATTCACTCGACATGTAGAATTCAAAACACAAATATTGTGCACTTAAAAGCAAATAAACTGAAAACATACGAAATTTTCAACTTAAGTAGATAATTTGATCACTAAATCGCATAGCGGGTTGAACTATCTGCTTTTAGCTTTGACTCCAAGATTGTCTTAATCTGAGGCCTATGTTATTGATGGTTGTTGTCGATTATAGGTGGATTGTGTGAGCTTGCTAGGTCATCGATGCATATTCCTTTTTGTTCCCCTTTTACTCACCCCTCCTCAATCACTTTACTCTGCATGCTCTTCTAGTGCACAAAGTACCTTTTAGCTAGACGCTAAAACAACAAACTTAAAGAAAAACACGAAACACTATATATGAAAATAACAGCGGCAAAATACATTCCATATACCCCCAGCCTTTCACATCATCCATTGAAAGTCCGCAGCCGATATTCCCTGACTTACACACAGTTAGATACATTAACGGCATGTAAATCACGAACGTAAATGATCCATGTAGAATGACTGAGGACATAATCGAGTTAGAAGGGAATGGTGTGACCAACCAGCTAACGTCGAACTCACAACTCGAAATTAGTATGTAATGTGGATTACCCTTTTGCCCGAATTGTTTGCTTTTTGCCTAAATAATCGCC